GTTCTTTTACATATATTACCAACATTGTAACAATACAAAGTTGATCGAAAATGGTTGAGCTTACCCTTTAATAATGTTGAACGATAGTGTTTATCTGAACACGACTAGAGACTTTAGTAAGATTTATCAGAAAAGATTTTAGAATTTGTATCATATAATTTAAAACATTTTAACTGCTGTAATTACTGTTTGCTCGGTTTTTATTTTGTGTTTATGTAACTCTTGTATTATTGTAACTCAGTTTTTGCCATGAAGATAGTGTTAGATTCTGACGTGGCAATAAAAATAAATAATTACTAGTACTGAACATATTATCTTTGAGCTGCTGTCATGTGGACATTACTTTGTTGCCAGAAGATGGTCTTCCCCAGCGAGTCTCAGACACCTCTGGCTGATTCAAGGATGTTTTAAAATTGTAACCCTGAAAACATGCATTTCCTGTAAACCTACTTTGAAAGATAAGTATTGTGAGAGGTACTTATATTTATACAACACAACCATGCTTTTACTATAGTAAAACTGTAGCAACCATAAGTGTAGTAACCAAGTTTTTTTTTTTTATAGTTAAACCACAGTTATTGTAGTAAAACTATGGTTGATTTTGTTTTTATTATGGATTTTCTGCAAATGCTGTGGTAAAACCATGGTTAATCTCTGAAAGAGTACAAACAGTTGTGAATTGATTTGAATGCTCTCATTTGTAAGTCCCTTTTGATAAAAGCATCTGATAAATGTAAATGTTTTTGTATATTTAATATGTTTATTGAAAATATTAATAAATGTGCAACCTTTATTGAGTGGTGTGTATTGTTTTATTATAAACCAGCGGCTGCTGCCGCGGCTGGTCCGTAACGATGCATTGATTATATGAATATTATGATTATTCAAAGATATTTAACCTGGCCATTGTGCCTTTTTTCTGTGCATATAATGTATGCAAACTGTAGCGAAGGCTACCTTGAAAGATAATAAGGAGTTGGTTTTGAAGGTAATAGCAGTGTACCAGGTGTGTCGGCCAGAACACGACAGAGAGGGAAGTGATGAACTTGAACTGGTTTCATTTGACCAGTACGTAAATCTACATCAGAGGGGGGAGCCAACCATAAACTTGCACCTTAAACAATGCCCACTTGAATGCGGAACAGCTTCCAGCTATAGTGGAAGAAGCAACAGTGAGTCAATCGGACCTCCAGAGGTTGAATCCAAAGGGATTAAATGGGTCCAAGAAAGGAAATTAAACAGTGACTGATAGAGATGCAGGGCATGAGAGGCACATGTACATCGCAGATACTGAGTAATGTCCTGACTTTAGATGAGTTTGTGCTATGGCTTCAGATGGGAGTGTAACACATGAATTGTGCTGGTATTTGGTGTGGTTTGATCTGTAACAGACGAAGCAGCACTCTAATATAAGTAAGCACATCATCACAGCCTTAATACACAAACTATCGACTCCTCCCCTCACATGTACATAATATATAAACACATAATATAATCACAAGCTGACAAGCATTATGTCACTCACAATAACATCTTTTAACATTTTACTGGCATTATTTATCAACATGAGATATTATAACATCCTAAACATGTCTATAAACACTGTAGAGCGACATAAGCTTGAGCACAGATGAATAAGTACCGTCACGTAACATTATGCAGTCAATAACTGCGTCATACTATATAACAATGAGCATAAATCAGTACACGTGATAATATAAACCTTACTCACTCTTATAAGACGCACAAAGCACAATATACACTCGATCTATGGCTGTAGTCAATGCTATTTCTCTTCCCCAGTACCCGTGCCACTGACGAACTGATAT